TTTTTTTTTTTTTTTTTTTTTTTTTGCGGTTGCAGCAAGTGAAATCGTGGATTACTGTGGACCTGATGGGAAGTGACTACATCGATACTCAGAAAGGCTACGGCGCGTATTGCTAATGGTCTTGTTACGTGCTCTTATTTTGGGACACTCTGTATACGTAGTTTCTCCTGTATACGTAGTTGCTCCAGTGGCTTCACGGGTCGGCGAGCGACATGGCCGAAGAAGGCGACAGCTACATGGTGTCGGGAGCTAACACTTCAACGAGGGAGCGGCCAACTGGAAAACGCAAGCTTGGGGCGAGGAAGTTTCGACACCACTCTGCTTATACACTCGATCGTATAATCCTAGCTGTCGTTCCGGCGTGCTCGCAGCACAAGAAGAAAAATTTTCAACTCAGCAGATTTTTTTTTTTTCCTTTCTCATAATGTTTGGACCTGTAAATAGATGCGAACACTCCATTTTCGCGTGTTAGTGACTGTCTTGTGTGTATACTGGGCAAAATTTGTTGTTTCCTTCGACTTCCTCCCACGTGTTGGACACATTCGACATTTGAATTTCCCGCTCTGCCACCTCTCGTGGTTTTCGCAGTCGGCAGAACTGCGTCCAGCGCTGGCTCACAGATTTGGCAACCCTGGGCCGCCGAGAGCGGCAGCCAGTTGTTCCGAGAAGCATCGTGGCGGTGAGTAGTGTCAACCGGGCAGCCTAAATCCAATCGATGTTTTAGTTTCGCATCCAAAGTAATTCGAGTTTACAGTCCATTTTGTCTTCGTGGCAATAACACATAGTTAAATACGGTTGTTTATCGCGGGAAAAGTGAAACTATTTACTAGGACTCAGTAAATAGTTTCATTTTTCCCGCGATAAACAACTCGATGTTTTAGTTTCGCATCCAAAGTAATTCGAGTTTACAGTCCATTTTGTCTTCGTGGCAATAACACATAGTTAAATTCGGTTGTTTATCGCGGGAATAGTGAAGCTATTTACTAGGACTCAAGATACGGTTGTTTATCGCGGGAAAAGTGAAACTATTTACTAGGACTCAAGATACTGTACAAATACCCGGCGGTTTTCTTCCGTTCTTGGCTTTCTTGCACTCATGAAGTTACCATCGCATTCCATTGGGCAAATTTGGATCCTGGTATTCTAGATCAGAAGATTTATAATCGGTCTTCAAAGAACTTGACCTAGTCAAAAACTTTACCATGCAATTATAAAAGTACGCACTACCTAGAGTGTTGCGGGAGATGTGCCAGCTCAAAAAAATGTTTCACGATTTCCCAGTATGTATACTGATAACGAACCGTAAGTCTAACTGTCACAAAAAGAATTATTCAATCTATTTTACTCTGTTCGTGTAATTTTTTCTTCCGCTCTGAATGTATTTTTAAACCAACGAATATTCGTTATCATGAAGTACACCTTGTTCAGGATTGCTTGGGTATTTTTGAAAGCTCGCGGTTTAGTTTACTTTTCCTGTCGAGTTTATATATTTACGCCTCGTGTATAACTATAAACCGTATCCATGCATCGACCTAGTTTACGTTTGAAATATTATATGGTCATAAATCATACTTTAATGCGTTTAAAACAAAAAGTAACAAATTCCGATGGCCACCATTCTAAACGTTACACCTTCAAAAAGAGGTTAACAAATGGACTTAATTTTTACAATTCGGTGGATAACACTGCTCTAAGCATTCCATCCGGTAGGTGAGAGTCGACTAAAGTATTCTCATTAACAAGCAAAAAATGTTTTTCTTCATTGTTGTTCAGTTAAGCACGTGCCAACAGTATACTATTTTTTTTTTTAAATAATCTTTTTATACGTGAATTTTTTAAAACTGAAATAATTTTCTGCCCAGTGTAGTGTATCTATATATTGTGATACTTTTCTACTTACGAACAATTCAAATTACGTATTTGTCGCTGCACCCTTTACGTTTCGCAAGAAACCCGATGATGTCGCAGTATATGCTACCATGGGCTTAGATTTTAAAGCACTGTACATATAGGCCTACTTGATTGTCAGCTTACTTTGGATGACGCGTCTGTTTTGAGAAATTACTTTGCTACGACTTCATCTCAGAAAATTGCAGCACCGGTTCGAACTTTTCTAAAGCGTGCCACTTTAAGGAAGATTGATGATTAAAATTTTGAAATAATGAGTTTGTGCATTTAACGCACATAAGAAAAATTGTCAGCATGACAACTTTGAAACAAGGACATCAAATTGTTCCGTAAATGCAGAATGTGATACAAACTATGACGAGGTGGCCACATGGAAAATAAATAACTTATTGTACATTAACAATTACTTATTACATGCTATCCGAAATACTGTCATTTTTACTAGTTGAAAATTTTTTTGGTAATTTCTGAAGTATGTATGATACATCAGGCACCGTATTAAAAATGGCGAGTTGAAAACTAATAAAAATGAATTACATTCTCACCTGTTATAAAATTTATGAGTGGTTGTCTTGTGGGCAAACCTAGAATACGAGCTTTAAAAAGTGACACATAAATTTTCACGTTAGCGGCAAAAGAAATAGTACACTTGTTGCAATTACAATTGGCGCACCATCTAAGAATAATTTGATGACTGCATAAGTTAGTGAACAGGCACATCGGCGAATTATATAAAACTACTTGAGTTTCGTGCGATGACGCATGCACATACATCGCACGAGGGTGTAGCTTTAGTGCATCGTATGACGTGTATCAACAGTCATCAGAACAATGCGTGAGATACGAGATATGCACTATACTTCCCATGTTTTGATAAATCAGCGGTAGGTATTTCGAGAAGACGTACGAGACAGCCATACGAACATTTGACTGAGTGGACGACACATAAAATTGATATAGGCTGTTCACGGTAAAGTGGGTACTTTTTAAGGCCCTTCTAAATTTTTCCTTTCATATAATTTCCATCTTCCTGCTGCTTTTTAATATAAACATTGTAATGTGACTAATAAACACAGTGTATATGTTTCACCACCCTCAAAACTTAACGCCTGAGGCTGCAATAAGATATATTTGTTAGTGGTTAAAGATTGTTGGGTGGGCCTTAAAAAGTGCTCTATTTACTGTGAACAGCCTATAGTCATGTGAACCGTGCGGATTCGTTTGGAGGTTACGTTTGGAGCACTAGACAAACGAAAGTAGCCATGCACGGCATGCAGAGCCAGAATGAAGGACTTTGATTACCAGATAGGCAATAAAGGGGTTGGCGGTTTCCTTGTCTACCATCCAGTGACGCTTGACAGATTCAATAGAGCACTGTGTCGAAAGAGATGCAGACTTCTAGCACAGGCAAATTTTCAATCTGAATGACTTAACACGTTCTGCGATTTATACTTCAACATATTCGCCTTCGTATCCAGTGATCTCAGCAGAGAGCAACATGACATATTACGAATTGGAAACGAATTTTATTGAAAGACGGATCACTCTTTTCTTCGGGAAAGGTTGAGAGACGATGAGGGTGAAGCAAGGTGAATATGGAGCTGTGCCAGAATGCAATTGGGGGGGTGGGGGGTGGGACGGGAGATCTCCGAGAAAACCCGCTGACAAGCGGTATCGGCCGGTGCGATTCCCACGTGTGAAAAATCGGGTGCGACCCCACTGGGAATCGAACCCGGTTCGCCCTGGTGGAAAATTAGCTCTCTAGCCGTTGCGCCAATGATAAAAAAATGTCCGTATATTCACGGAAACTCTCTCATCATTGCCGAAGCTCAGAGCGGGGGGTGTGCTCGGGCCCTTGTGAGGGCCCTTATACCACCCATACGGTTGCAGCAGTTGTATCTCTCTGCGGGCTGAGGAAGTTTCCCTCACCAGACCGCAAAGAACACATAGCCCAGAGGTCAGGACGCTCTGCACGTCCCGGCGCAACTCAGACAGCCCGCCAGTCAGACCAGCAAAGCCGCGGTCTTCACGGAAACTTTTAAGGATATTTACAGTTAATAGGAATATACGGAAATACGATTCGTAATGACGAAAGATAGAACTGAACTCCCTAAATATAAAATACGGAACGATTCCCTATTTCCTACATATTCGGGTTTCGGGGACGAATAATCGCGAGTTTACACGAACCTTTCGTCACAACTATAACCAGAAAATTTAATTTGTGGCATGTAAGGTATCGTGTCGTTTCTTCAAAGGGCCTGCGGTGGCTGAGCGGTTAGCCTGCTCGCCTCCCAAGCAGAGCCGGGTTCAATCCCTGGCCGGGCCACTCTCGAATTTTCGCATGTGGGAATCGTGTCGGTCGATGACGTTCGTCGGCGTTTTTTTTTGTCTTCGGGGATCTCCGGTTTCCACCCCGCTCTTTCATTCAGAAACGCTGCTCCATACTCACTTCATTTCACGTACATCGGCTCTCAAGACCTCGTCGATAAGAGTTTAAATTCAGTAATTTTTCACAACGTATGCGATGGCATTCTTGGCTCGTATTAAAGATTTCATCAAACATTTTAAACACGCGTCTTAACCAATCTGTACTAAAAAATTGTGTTTGTAGCGAATATGGTTGCCATAAAATATAACGAAAAATACTAATTATGTTTAATGCTTTTTCACTACAGTGAATTACATCAAGACGATACGGATGTTATGTTTTGCTGTGATACCTATATATTCAGCGTGGTGCGATAATTAAACTTGCGTGACAGAGCACATATTAAAACAAAACATTATTAGTCATTCTTACTGCACATACGAAGGGCAAAGTTTCTCGACATAATATCTAACAACGAAAGGTGTGTGTGTATGTGTATATATATATATATATATATATATATATATATATATATATATACGAGCAATGTAAAAAAACAAAAACATAACGAATACATTTACGAAAACAGATACGTAAACATAATTAAATAAAAATTACGTTTTCAATAGAACAAACACTTAAAAACTAGGTTAATTCCTTAAATTCGTGTTTTGAGAGTAATTTCGCAAAGCATTACGTAAGTTAAAGGGACTCACCGACCTACCCTTGGTGGGGCTCGTACCCACGATCCCCAGTTTAGAAGACCGATAGCCTATCCATTGGGCCACAAGGGCTTACGTTACACCGGGCTTATTAGATGTATGTATAGGTACTCTTGTCATTATCTTATTTCATTTTGCTTTATTTGCCGGCCTAACCAATTAATATTTATAAAACTGTGATGTCGAATTACATTATATTTTATTTTATAAAGCGTACGTAAGAAAACAATGTTTTTAGAAGTTGTTGTATGACATGCATTCAATTTTTAGACCATTTTAAGTTTTTATTCGTGCAGTGAGATGTCTTGAATACAAGGTCTTTCGCAAATGTATTGATTTTCAAGCCGTTATGTAGAAACTCAAAAACAGTCCATTCCTCACTGGAAGCGACTTTCTCGGAGCACTGCTAAATATCTACTTGCAGGCCCGTTTCGCATCCTTCCGCCAAATGTAAACAAACATTGCCATGTGACTGCCATGTAGCACGTGTCAAAATCTATATTTACATGTCATTGCGTGTGTAAATGCGTTCGTATACTTTCGCTATACCTAAACATAAACACTGAAATACGACTTCTACTTTTATACCTGTCAAATGCGTTGTTTACTGTTTACTGCTTTTCAAAGAATTCTGTCATATTCCAAAAACCGTTCCGTATGAATATTCACAGTTTAGGCCTATAACATTATTTAGGTCAGCTTTATGACGTTTTAAAAATGCCTGAATTGACGACTGTGTTTAAGACTGTTACAACTGCGGCGTAATGAAATATAGTATTTCAACTATTTGTTATTTATATATGTTTGGGTTATTTATTTAAACGGGCGGCCTCAGTTCGAATAACTAGGGAGTAATCAGTCCAACGAAAAAGACATTAAAATCAAGCACGCAACTCATGTCGCTCATTTTTTGTCATACATTAATTTAAAAATCTGGCGGTGAACATGCACACATGCCTACCGTAACTTTTATTCCGCTCATACTTATATGTATTTCTACTCACTGTGTATTAGGTTTATTGAAATTTATTGGGGCTGGGCTTGGTTATTTTGTTGGGATTGGTGGTAAATCACGTTGCACGACTGTGTTTCAAACACCCACGGCAAAGGTACAACGTTGTGATAAATAAACAGACCTAGATGTAAATAAATAACTTCGTCATAAAAACAGTTCACATTTAAAACGTATAGATTGTTCACATCAAATATTTGAAATCACGCACACACACAGATCCAGCATAACGATCACCACGCAGCCACGCCACGCTATTTCACATGCAGCGGTTAACGAAGCACCGTAACAGTATATTTATTACGCCGCAGAAGCGCAGATTTATCACATCATCTTAACTTGCTTAGTTAGGTTTAAAAAACACAACGTCTATAAACGTGATGTAATTTGGCGTATTTTTCGGAATGAGTATAATTTACGCTTCGTTTGGTAACAAAGCAACACGTCATGTCATGACTCGCCACGCCTGCCAACCTCACTTTGTCTCTGCCTCGCCATCATATCTAAATATATACTAAAATAAGTATTCAAACATTAAAATCTATTTTTAGTTGTAAATTACAAATTCAAAAATAATTATTTTGCTGTAATAAGTATGACATATGGTACAACTGAAAACAAGTATAATATTCCTGCTTACTAGCGAAGTGAAACTTCCTGAGTGTGAAAGAGATAAAAAGAGAGAGAGAGAGAGCGACAAGTCTCGCTCAACAGACACTTGCTTTCTCGCTCGATAAAACAACACCGTACCATTACGGCCTGCTCACGATATTTTCCTCTGTTATTTTAAAGTGTAAAAATCAGATATGTTGTCATCGGGGCTACCTAAATATTTTAATATTTCAATAGGCACCGTTTAATTTACAAATAGTATGCTAAAAAACTAGGTTAAAATAATAGTTTAACTGTGAACTATTTCTTACTGGCCGTTGTCAACACGTCGCTGCTCTCGCTGTTGTTAATTCATATTTAAAAAGAAATAAATATTACAAGTTATAGAAGATATTAAGGTAAAGTTTCATTTATTCAATAATACAGTACTCTAAAGTTAATCACAGTGTCATATATTTGTGGAATACAGGTTATTGAAAAAACGGGTTGACATTTTATGCCTGGAGTGTTTTTTCAAAGGTCGATTTTCATAAGTCGCTTCCAATCAGGAATGGACTATATATGCATAGTGTAACTTTCCTTAGCAAAGCTCATAGCAGACTGTTAAATGGTTTATACATAATTAAGAAATTCGCATACCTCCCTCGATGAGACAACACGTGGTCGCTTTAGCTCTTCTTTATTTGTTCCAAATTAATACAGGCGCGGATAAAGAATTTACAATTTATCGGCCTTCGCGATAAAATTTTGACTACTTTCATTACTTGAATCTTTTTTTAAAATATTGCTGAATATAAGTGAGAAGAAGAGAAAAATATTGTATTTTGCTTCCCACTTTTCTGAAGCCTTGCTTAAGTTATACTTTCATTATATTCCTCCGCCTCATCCAAACAAGGTTAACTAAGGCCCCAGGCATAATCGGCATGGCGCACATAACATGCATAGCGTAAAGAAATAAAAACCTGTATTTGAGATTGTAATGTCCACAACAAGTACTTGGCGTGACTTACTGGCGTTTTTTGCGTGACTTGGCGTTAAAATGCTCATCTATGAGTATCTTACCATACACTAAAGATTAGGTAGATCGCATATTCGTCTTCTGCGCACGTACCCAACCCGACATAAAACTACCCCAATCCTACACAACTGTCAAAGTCACATGGTCAGCAGTGATGAACGTGTTTGTTTACATCTTAACTTTTAAATGACAAGCACTATTATATTAATAAAATACATTTACCATTTTGAATTTAATCAAAAAGCATTACAAACTGGTTAGAGGAAGTAAAAAAAAAAAAAAAAAAAAAAACTTAAGCACTTGTTTGAAAATCAATTTTCTAACCTGAAATCCAAACCACGCCGTTTTGGCTAGACGTGTTGGCAGAAAAACAGTTTAGTGTTTGGACACCAAGATTGGTTGTGCGCAGCCAGTGAGATCGGTCTATCTCATCTTTAGTCTAAGTGTCTTACGCCAAGTTTTTAACGCCGGCAAATGAGAATGTGAAACGTCATAAAAAAAACCTGCTGTAGCCAACTTACGCATAAATAAATTCTTGTGCGGAAACATTATTTCCTATTCGTTTGCTCTTCCTAATTGGTTAGAAGACGGTTTTTTTTTCTTTCTCTTTAACGCCGATTGTAGACAGACGGTTTCACTTGTTATGCTTTGTAAGTTATGTTATTTAAGCCAAGTTGATTGTGGACGGGTCCTAAGTCAAAAAATATACACAAAAGAGAGAGAGAGAGAGAGAACTTTTGAAAGCCCTGCTTAAGATCTACTTGCAGGTACATTGTGTATTCTTTCACCTGATATAAAAATTAACTTCGGCGTGAGCGCCATCACCTTAGTCATGCGTCGATCGGAGAAACTATGAAGTAATTAGGAAAGTAAATATTTTACTATTTTGCTTATAATTACATTTGTATGAAATTAAAATAGCAGGCAACCAAAGAGATAGTGTCAGTATTTACAAAATGTTCACCTGGCAGTTATAAATCAACGTTCAGACATGGAACTACTTTGGATCCATCGTTGCCAACCTCACTGACATCACGCCAGTCAGTGTGTCATTAAAATATATGCAGGTAGGGCAGTGACATTTTCAAAAGGTTGATTTCAAAAGTGCTCACTTTTTCCTGAACAGCCTTTAGTAGCTTTGGGGGGAAGGGAGGGAGGGCGATACGTGACTAGGGGGTGTGTGGGATAATGGAATATCTTTCCCCGCAGAAGGGTGGAGGGGGCAGGGTTTTCAATGGTCTTGCAGAAGCCATTTTCTGATGGACTAAGTAGTGTTGGTGAATATGCCTACTGTTATTGGTCTCTGAGGGGTGACTGCTCACTCTAATTGACCGCCATGGTTATCGTCGCTGAATAAATCATGGTCCCCGACAAGTAGTAAATGCGTGGTGAAGCGAAGGGGTTGAATCACTTCTGGGAAGGATGCTGGGGCATCTTGAGGGAAAACTCCACACCCCCAGCCCCAAACAAGCATGTGTTCACCGCATTACTAGTAGCGTTAAATCTCCGCCTGAAAATTGCATACCTGCCTGGGATCGAACGAACGTCTCGAAAGAAATAAAAAATACTAGTGACCAACAAGTGGGCCAACGCAGGTTGCTTTTGCAGCATTTAAGGCGTCTCGGACAGCGAGGATCTGGATTCGAATACCGTCTATTTCGTAGAGTGAGTGAAGAGATCTGGACGGCGCTTTACATCGAGGTCTTGAGAGCCGATGAGGGTGATTTAGTTTAGTATGGCGCAGTGCCGGAATAAAAGGGCGGGGAAAGGGAGAACCCCGAGAAAACCCACCGACCAAAGGCTATTTTCACACTGTCTTTATTCTTATTCATATCAGTTGTAAATTGATATTATAATTTATAGATAAAGTATAAGTAAATGATCAATCTAACTTAAAATGGGTATTTTTTTTTGTTAACACAAGTATAAAATGCTTGTGATTGCATGGAATATTTTGGAAACGCTCAAACGCACCATGCATGGCATTTACAAACCAAATATATGCAAGAATTTCCTTTATTTCCAACAATTTTTTGAAATTGCAAAAAAAAAATTTCTAGCACAATTTTATGGATATCTTGAAGTAACTCTGGGCATTCTCTTTCATCGTGAATTATCTCATCTGTGTATAATATGGTTTTCATTATCTGTACATTTCCGAAACAGTAATGTTATGATTCTGACATGTATTTATGAAAAAAAAAAAAAAAAAAAAAAAAAAAAAAAAAAAAAAAAAAAAAAAAAAATACTATTAGCCCAATTTTTTTTTTTCGGGAAGTAAGAGTAATTATTTATTATGTCTAAAAGTAGAACAGTGTGTGGTACAAATATAAAATAATACATTTTTTCTGTGGCTAACGCCCGTAACGTCTCTTCGACAGCGAGGTCATTTCAGAAGTCAGCAAGCCGCTCGGTGAAGCTGGAACGCGG